CCCCACTTAGCGGTCATCTCGGTCGTGAGAAGACGTACAGCTCTGTGAGTTGCCACTATTGGTGGCTCAATCTGTACAAATAAACGAGCACACATCTGCACACGTGTGAGACGTGTCAGAGGGTGAAATTCTCTCCGAATGCCACGGCGCCACTGTCCAGTTTACCGGTACTGTCCTGATGTTGGCAGTCCATGGGTATGGACTTTGGGTTTGGCCTGCCGAGAACTCGACAGGCTACACGGGTGTAGTGGTCTTTGTGGACCGTTTGAGCAAGATGGCTCATCTTGCGGCAGTGCCGAACACCATCGACCGTGTGGGTACAGTGACGCTGTTTGTTGACGTCGCTTTCGACAACATGGACCCCCGGAGTCAATTGTCTTCGACAGAGACTCGCGCATCACTGGGAAAATTTGATCTACACTCTTCAGGGCGCTGGGCACCAAGTTGACTATGTCATCAGCGGACCATCCGCAGACTGCTGGTCAGACTGAGCTTGTGTATCCCTTCGTTGAAGACGTTTTTCGCACCGTCTGTGCTGAGCGCCGAAGTGCTGGAGCGCTATGTTGTCACTCGTAAAGTTCACTCTGGTCAATGCAGTGCATTCATTAAACGGCTAACGCCGTTCTACATAATTGGGATTATCAATTCTCGCTTCCCGCTGACGCTGCCATCCCATGGCTCAGGACTTGGTGAGTGAGGAATAGCCAAACGGCTAGCTGATGTCAGCCCCCTCACCGTGCGTAACGAAGTCGGAGAGTTTCTGTCTACTAGACTGAGTGCCTTACGACACGTTCGCGATGCGATGGCTGAAAGCCAAGACATGCAGAAGGAATATGCAGACAAAAATGCAAGAAGAAATAAAATAAACTTTGGGTTGGAGACCTGGTTTTAACTAATAATAAAAACCTTCCTACACATGCAATCTCTGCTGTCTTTAAGTCACAGCTCCATCAACGTTTTATTACCCCTTTTAAGGTCGTGGCTAAGCGAGGCCTAGCGTATACGCTGAGCCTTCCGAGAAGGATGCGCACCCACCCAGTGTTTTATGTGGGCTTCCTTAAGCCGTACCGGGGTCCGGCGCAAGTGAGCGCGGAAGCATTGGCGCCGGGGCGGCACCCAAAGACGCTCGGCCATCCAGAAGTTAAGCCACGGAGTGCAGAGATTTCCGTTCCCAACGGTGGTCGTAGACTCACGTGTGTGAGAAATCACAGAACTCACGGGAGCGTTATGGATAGTTCCATATTTCTCAGGGCGACAATACACAGGAAGTCGGCGTTGCGCCTTGAGTTTGGCAAGCTAAAATCTAAGATGGCGCTCAACGCGCACGTCCACTTCCTTTTGGATTCGCTGTTAGGTAGTCAGCAAGAAGGTTTTCGGTGCCATTGCGCCCATCACTCAAAGAGCGCATCGTCATCTGCAGCGGTTTCGCCAGGGGCGAGCATTACAGGAATGGTCCGCATTGCGGGGATAGCAGCAACTCCTTACTGAGATCGGGGTCGAGCGCGGTACCTATCCATTGGATCTCTTGAGTTATCATAACGCGAGCTTGCAGAGCTTTCCGCTGATCAAGCTCAACTTGTGTAGTGGCTGGAGGACCGACTAAGTAGACCCCTAACAACCCAGTGATTGCGTCTTTTGCTTCAGTAGCAGTATCCGCCGAGCGGAAGCCGTATTCCACACGAGGGTCTAAGACCAAAGGTGGATACGAGCAGAGAAAAGCCGCTCTAAGAGCAGCCTCCGATTGCTGCTCCTGTGCCTCGTCTAGGCGATTGGTTATAATACAACTTACACCGGAAGCCAAGAGGTCGGGGAACGAACATGGCGTCCGCAGGGTTTGAGCTGGGCACACACCGCGCCGTTGGCGCACTTCATCTTCCTCGTCATCCCATGCTGGGAAAGGAGTATCCGACTCGTAGTCGACTTCATCCAACTCCAAGACGAGGGAATCCGTCTCCCGGGGCGGGCGCGGTGTGTTGAGCCTAGTTGCCGCGGGCGTACTGTCCGGAGATGCGTCCGCGGGAGCCGCTAGCTGGGTGTTCTGTGTGTCGTAAACACTTTGCTCATAGACCGGAGAAGGTATAAAGTTGTTCTTTTGAATGTAAAGGTGTCTCAGACGCGCGACCCTCGTATGACGCGACGGTAGAATGTGAATTGAGGATATTCAAAATTCTAATGAGAGATAGTGTAATCGGGTTACACGTGCCCTTGTGAGAAAGGGCGGGTCGCACTATCTTGTGCAACCATACGTAGGTGTGTATTACGGCTGCACCGTAACAAGAAGCCACCACGTGGCAGAATTGCCAGATGTAATGCATATTACTGTATTAATTATTTTTTGCTATATTAATTAGGAATTACTGTATTAATTAGGAAAACCTAGCGTTTTAGATATTGGCGGCTCTGCCGTAACAAAAACAATTAAATGCAGTTTTGTTTTTGATCAGAAGTCTTCATTTGCCTTGGTAAGGTTTAAGTACTTAAAGTAGCGGATTGCGATCCGCTACACTTGTATTGGTTCTTTGAAAGAATCTAAGGTCGGTGACCTTGACTTAGTTTTTCCCAAGCAAAGAGCTACAGAAGCCCCGCTGCAACCGAGATGACCACTGAATGGGGTGTTGTGGACCTCAAAGAGGATACAATATCACAAAATTCTCATCATGAGGAACCAGAATACGTGGCGTACCCGTCGAACCGGTGCTATAACACAGCAACCCGCTATTCTATGTAACCGTGCGAACGCGCCGAAAATTTCTTGTTCGAGTTTCCCAGCTCCTTGCTCCCGAGAGCCTGCAGCAGTGCCACACATATACTGTCACTCGCGTATGTGTCGCGAATTAAATCCGTCACTGATGACGTCACTGTCGTGACATGAGCAAGCTCATAGTCCGGTTTGCGTAACAACGCATCAGCCTAATCATTCTGCTTTTGTGGCTTATACTACACCTTGAAGTCATAATCTGCAAAGAATGATAGCCACCTGGCCATTCTCTGCGAGAGGTGAGGCGACTGGGTCGCAGTGCGTAAGGACGCATGATCTGTGTAGATCAAAAACGGCTGAGTCAAGCAGGCGCACCCTGAACTTGACAAGCGCATACATCATCGCAAGTAATATCTTGTCGTAGTCTGGGTAGTTCCTCTCCACATACCCTAAGATTTTGAGATTCAAATGCGATAATTCGAGCTCGCTCATCGGTGTCTGCATGCAGCAGTGCACAGCTGATAGCAAAGTCCGAAGCGTCACAGACGACACTACAAGGACGACTGGGCCTGGCAACGCCAGTATCGGTGCATGAAGGATGCTGTATGTGACCCTGTCAAAAGG